TGTGCTGTACCTCTTTAATCTGACCTCTGCATGTCTCCATTTATAAAACTTCCCTCCCAAAAAGAAGTCTCATTAATGCGGGTTGAACTCCTGTGGTTTAACAGGTTAATCTGCCTCTTTTACCTGTCAGTCCTACACACACATAGTCTTCTGCACTGTACAAAGCAAACTGCATGAGTAGCTCACAACCATATACCTCCCCATTTAACACCCAAACCCAACCAAAGTAGTTTTCCAATACGAATGATGAGTTATGATGTATCCAACTAACAAGCGAAAATTGCAATCTCAAATTTCAGCACATGCATTCTTCACACGAGGCTTGCAGGACCTGACCCTACATGATTTTAATCGATTGGTTTAATTCATTTTTCGTGGTATATTGTAAATTCTGACAGATATTGAAGGCTCTAAAGAATGCTGTGCCAGATTGCGCTTTCATTTCCCAAAGGAAAGCCAGGCAGTAGAAATCCAGTAAGGTCCCAGAGACATTGCAGCACGAAGAGACACACTGCTGATGAGCAGCTAGTTGTTGACACTTAGTCTCTGTGGCAGCAGCAGGTCACAGCTCCTGCTTTCAGGAGGAGCTGGCAGCTGGATGTTGGTGCTTTCGCAGGCCACCTGAAATGCTTCCAGCCCAGTAGCATCCACAGCCTGACACTGATAAATGATGCCTCAGTATCTTGATACTGTGTATATTGTGGCAGTGCATCCTGCAAAGTTATTAGAAAACCTTATTCATTTTTATTATGAAAAGAATACTACACTGTGTTTTCTTTTGCATGACTTCTCATCTCTGTGGGAATAATGGCAGTTACAAGTGAGATAACTGTGATTATTTTCACTAGAAATCTACTAGCAGTAGATTTCTGTGCTTGCGTAAAAGTGTAAGATTTATCAGACATTAAAAAATAAAAAAAAAGCAAAAGTGCAGTTGTACGCTAACTCCACTTGTAATAGATGTATAACACAAGCATTTGTTGTAAAGGCTTTAAACTTGACATGAGGACAAGTATCTCTACTGAAAAGTCCAAATGGTCTGCTAGCGTGTTTCTCTTGGTCTTTTTTGATTTTTGCAATGCTCAAAGCATATTTTGCTTAACTCTTAGAGCACTGAGGTAGATTTCATTCCTTCTTACCTTTCACTTTTTTAAAAAATTCTCTTACCTATGTCAGACAAAATGTTAATGTGTCTCCTATCCCCAACATTCTAGAAACCTAGAACCCCTCCTAGGCCCACGGGAATCTCAAGTTTAAGCTTTTTGGTAAGTTTTATACCTCACTGAGGCTCAGCCTCTGTATGACAGAGCACTTGTGGCACAACATTGCCTAAGCTGCAGTCCTCACCTTTGCTTACCTTATTACCTGCCTTCTTTTGGTTGTTCTCAATTTACAGCAAATATTACCTTTAGAAAAGTAGGCACACTGCAGAAGATAGCAGAGAAGAGGTAGAATTCTCCAGCAGAGCAGAAGCTAATGCTGAAAGCCCTTGTTTACTTTTTAAATGATTTTAAGTATTTTTAGTTAGCTCAATTAACATCAGAGCTAGACAAAGAGGATGCATATTTTTATCTTTGTCTTAACAGTTTCTAAAGAATTTAGCCACTCACATTTAAACTTCATTAGAAGTCAGTCCTCTAATCTAGGTTACTAAATTAGGCACTGCTTCACTCAAATTATAAGTGCCTGATTAGCTATATGTGAGCTAATCCACCTGAAATACAGCATGCAGTCAATGAACAGACTGATTTGCTGATGAAAATCTGCAGAGGAAAGCAATGTGGTCTGGGGTAGTCATCCCATTCCCTATTTGAATTTGGTACATATGCACCCATGAATAAAAACAAAACCAGTCTGGCCACAGAATCCAGAAACCTTATCTTCACAAGCCGACCTGCAAGTAGGCAGCCCCTTGTCTCTTCTCCCACATCATCCGATCTACATCCTAACTCATCAGAGTGAAAGCAGCTCCAGAACAAGGTAGAAATTTCAAACATATCAACTCTCCATCAATTGCTGCAGCAAGGACCCAGGAACCAGGTATTCCTATTTCCAGTTTAGGAAAAGGAGAGTTAATGCCAGTGAATCCAAACTGCAGCAGCCTGCAGTTGTTATGTAAGCACCTCTCCTTCCAGGAGCTATCTTTGCAATGGAGGCAGCATGGGCCAGGGACTGTTCCTAATAGGCACCTACAATGTGGCCACACAATTTTGAAGAATACAAAAGCTTAGTAGTACAAACAGAAGCCATAGTCTACCAACAGCCTCAGTGTCAGAGTATGATTTGAAGCACTAAATACGAAGGGCATTCAAAAGGTACAGAGGAACCTTCCAGACAAGCTAAAAAATATTTAAAGGGTTAATCAGTCCTGAAAAAGGACTGCACAGCCATAGTCTGGGAATAGTCTGGTTTTTAGGCACCAAAATGGGACACCGAATCTCACCCTAAAATTGTAATCCTTGTGATTATGTTTTAGTTTGTTTCATAGAATCATAGAATCATTACATTTGGAAGGGACTTTTAGAGATCATCTAGTCCAATCCCTCCTACACACGCAGGGTCACCTAGAGCACGTGGCACAGGATTGTGTCCAAGCGGGTTTTGAAGATCTCCAGAGAAGGAGACTCCACAACCTCTCTTGGAAATCTGTTCCAGGGCTCTGTCAGCCTCACTAGCGAGATTTTTTTTTCCTTAAGTTCCTGTGGAACTTTTGATGCTTCAGTTTGTGGCCGTTTCCTCTAGTCCTATCCTTGGCCACTGCTGAGAAGAGGTTGGCCCCATTCTCCTCACTCGCTCCTTTAAGGTATTTATACATACTGATGAGGTCCCCTCTCAGCCTTCTCTTCTCCAGGCTGAACAGGCCCAGCTCTCTCAGCCTCTCCTCATAAGACAGATTGTTCCAGGCTCCTGGTCATCTTTGTAGCCCTGCGCTGGACTCTCTCCAGTAGATCCACATCCCTCTTGTACTGGAGGGCCCAGAACTGGACCCAATACTCCAGATGTGGCCTCACCAGGGCTGAGTAGAGGGGCAGGATCACCTCCCTTGACCTGCTGGAGACGCTCCGCTCTTCTTAATGCACCCCAGGATCCCATTGGCCTTCTTGGCCACAAGGGCACACTGCTGCCTCATGGTCAACTTGTCACCCACCATGACACCCAGGGCCTTCTCTGCAGAGCTGATCTCCAAAGGTCCCCAGCCTGTATTGTTGCATGGGGTTATTCTTCCCCAGGTGCAGGACCCTGAACTTGCATTTATTGAAATTCATGAGGTTTCATTATTCTTTTGCACTTTCAGGTGCCCAGTTTTAGCATCCTGATGTCCTGTTGGTCTGTTTAAGGTTTGAATGCCACATTTAAGGATTATTTTCAGGCTTAATTTTACTTTGAGGGATTGCTTAGGTTATCATCTGTCAAGACATTTAGAGAGGAAAAGGCTTAAAACCATATACACTAACAAACATTATAATGTCTACTGATACTAACTCCTAGAGAAGAGTGGAGACAAAATGAGAGGAAATTAATTAGATCAATTCAAAATGAAGACAGTTAAATGATGTAGAAACTTTGCATATCCTGGTGTCTTTCATTCTTTTCCCTGTTACACAGCTTTTTTTTGCTCCCAAATGCCTAATCCTTCTTAATCTTCCTCAAGACTCTTTCATCCTTCAAGAAAATGGTTGTGTGTTACTACACATGTAATGTGAAAGGAACCCTGTGTTGACATTTATCCATAAATAAGGAGGACAAAATGTGAGAATAAAGCAAATTTTCCTTCTGTAGCAGAGCTTGGAACAACACCCTGCCATTCTACAGGCCAAACTAAAGTCAAGCTACTAGGTCATGCTATTTCTTCACAGTAATAGCGTTGTTTTATTATATAGCTTCTCAGTAACAGAACGGGATAAAATTTTGAGCACTGAATTTATTTCTGGGATAAAGAATTTCAAATATTTCAAGTTCAGTAGAAATCATTGTGATCATCTAGTTTAATTTACGTAATATAAGCTATGGACTTCAGTTGGCAATGATACCATCAAAACTTCTAGATATAGTTATATTTGAACAGTTTGTTTAGTGGACTGTTAGATCTTTACCTAAATAAATGATTTTCAGATAAGAAAATATATACCTCAGAAGGTTGTTCTATGTTGCAGAGGGTTTATTAAAAAGTACTAGCTTTGAATTTGATTTAAACAATCAAAAATAGTTAAAAAAACTGTCTTAGATCTAAAAAAGAAATGTAAATGTTACAGTATGCAATGAAATACATATAATGTATTATTCGGTTTCATTGATTATGAAATCTTGAATGTTGAAGTAATATGAAATTGTTTAGAAAGTTTCAAAATTTCTACTCTACTCAGAATAAGAAGATAATATTCCATCTGGAAATTGGATTGAATATATTTTTCCCTCTTCTTGATGATAATTAAGGATGTGGTTTTGAAAATGGGATTAGTTTGGTGTACACAATTACTCATGAAATAACACTGTCTGACAATTAATTTTATTTTTACAGTAAAGCTTGCTAAGACTGCATTCACTATCATGCAATATTGAATGATGTAATGCCTAATATTTTGGAAACATAAGAGATAACTGAGTCTACATGCATAGTGGTAACAAATATAAATTATAAGAGATATATCAATTCTGTCATGGCAAGATCAGTTTTTTATGATAATGAATTTTTTTAGGCTTAAACAAAGGCCAACATGAAGTTATTGGCTCTTTAAGAAACAATTTAGAAAAGGGCAATTTAGCCAGATATGTCTGACTTTTATATTACTCATCTGTGCAAAAAGAATTTAGATAGAAGAATAAAATAATGAAATCACTACTGGTAAGTCCTTTTTTCACAGACTAAAATATTCTTTCAGTGCCAGGCAATGAGGATAAACTTCATCTCTGATACTCTTTTTGTAGTTGTTTTGGATTACAGATTTGTTTTCAATGACCTATCATAATTAACAGGCTCTTTACTGTTCACATGTTCACAGTTTATCAGGATGCCCCAGAGCCACTTCAGCTATGAAGAAAGCAAAGCTGTCTGGAGAACAAATGCTAACAATAAAGCAGCGGGCCAGTAATGGTAATTTTTAATCATTGTCTCTCTAAATGTTACTTCTTTGCAAGAAAAAAATGTCAATACTGTATATTTTTCTTTTTTTTACATGTGTAAGTCTTCTTTGTATAAGCTGAGTTTGCTGTCAGTAGAGCTGAAACTGATTTTCATACTGTGGAGATCTGAGCCAGCAGTGGAGTGGCTCAGGTTGGTCTGTGTTATGCCTATGTAGACCTAAAACCCTCTAAGGTATTCCAAAGTAGAATATATCACTGAAAGTTTATGCTTCTTCTCTCATTCATCAAGGTCAATAGTTGGTCTTATATTGCTGCAGGATTCTGAAGAGAGAGTTGTCTGCAGAGGTGCTGAGTCCTCGTGAGCTCCCTTGGATTCATTTTGAAGTGTAGTTCTGTAGCCTTTGGCAGGTGTAGATGGCCTTGTGTCATTTAATCTGCAATCCTTCCTGGAAACCTTCAGTTGCAGAGGAGAAGGTGAAAGTAGCTTAGATGAAATTCGGAATCATAGCCTGGTATCTGAAGTGCAATTAAAGCAAATTGTAGGTGCTGCAGTTCAAATAAGTACCTCAAAAAATCCTGGCCAGCAGGTACCTAAGTCCTAATTTTTCTGGGAAAATGTTGCCTAAAGATGGTGCCTAAATTGCCAACCTGCCTTAAGATGCCATCCTCTTAACTCCAATGAATATCTGCTGAAGTTTACTGTGTTTGAGAGCCCTGAAGCAATTACAGGAAATGCTTTGTTCAACAATTCGGGCAGAAGCTCTTGTAACCCACATGGAGAGCATGGCTGGAGAAATAAGTGGGGGTATCTTTGCTCAGTAGCTTATATCCGGAGAGTGCGAGATCTGGGTTTAATTTTCTCTACAACTAGAAATGCATGTCTGCCATATCTGAAAAGCATGCCTAAGGAACAGCGTATGTCTATGTTCTCAGTAGTTAGGGGGACATATGACATCCCTCATGTTATAATTCAAAAAGGTATGTGAGATTCACAGCAGAGTAAGCTAGTAGGAGAGTGCATCCTGTAGCAGTAGGAGTTAAGACCTTGACTGGATGCCGCTCTGTGCTGTATGCTCTAGGTATCCCTGCTGGAGCAGGGGGGTTGGACTAGATGATCTCTAGAGGCCCCTTCCAACGTGAACCATTCTGTGATTCTGTGATTCTGTGAGTTTAGAGGAAACCAGGGCTATCTCATCCCATTTTATTCTCTTTTATAGTAACTAAATTAACAATTAAATAAACCAGTTTATTTCTTTCTGGGTCCTTAGAGAGATGAAGACCTTTAAAATTCTGTTCCCCAGATGCTTATATTAAAAAACTCAAGAATCACTTTTATTTTGCAAATTATCCCATGTATCATTACATAATAGCACCCTTCTGAACTGTGGAACTAGTAAAAGAAACGGCAGAATCACAGTGGATCCCAAGGCATCAATTGAATTTCTCTGTGTCAGTACAAATTATATTGACAACACTGTGATATGAAGAGATTAGCATGTTACAAAATTTTCTTTTCTTTCAGAAGGTCAATTTATGCATGGACAAAATCTTTCATATAAGTTAAAAATGACAGTGGAGCAGGATTCATTGCTGCACGTGCATTTCTAATTATGCAAAGTTAAAATAGGCACATACAAAGAAAAAGCTGTGTATTATCATTCCTCCTGCCATTTCCATCATTCTCATGGGAAACTTACTGTAATTCTTAAAAGAAAAGTGGTGGGAAATGCATTGCCTTGTCTTCAAAAGGAAAAAAAGTTTGATGAAACTTACTGTTTTATTCTTTACTACTTTTACTTGAATTAAATTTAATTTCAATATGAAATAATTCATCTGATGAACTCTGATATAAAGCTTAATTATTTTAACATGTCTGTTATTTTTCTATCACATAGGTATAGAAAATGATGAAGAAATTAAACAGTTAGATGAAGAAATCAAGGAACTAAATGAATCCAACTCCCAGATGGAAGCTGATATGATTAAACTCAGAACTCAGGTAACAGTTTTATGAAGCCCTAAATTCAGCTCCTTTTTATATCTGATTGATTAGAAGAAATATAGGAAATATACTGTTCTTTTTCATGTTTCTTCCATACTATGTTTTCTATCCCTGATTTAGCATTTATAAATTCAAAAAAACAATATCTTTGGTGCATTTTCCACATCATTTGTCACCATAAAAAAACAACAATATATATTTTATTAAATAATGACAAAAGCATGACCTGTAATGATCAGCTTTGTGTTTTACCTTGATGAGGATAGATATATACCTTATTAATAGCAGTTAAACTGTTGGGTTAGACCATGGTCACTTACATAAATTGCAATGTGAAGAAGCCCAAGTGAGGAACATCTTGCCAGGATTGTGTTACAGAGGAAATCAAAATAGGGAAGGGAACACTTGTTACACTTCACCACACTAAGTGCAGTCCTTGGCAGCAATAATAGAATACTACTCACCGATGTTCAGAACTAGTTTAATCCCTTTTACATTACACATAAATCTGTTTTAAAAAAGGAGAGGGAAAAACCCTCTAGAATATTAATTAAAACCTCATCTTACTGTCATTCTTGACCAGTCCTAAAACTAGATGGAAAAGGAAAAGGAAGGAATTTAATTGAATTATTTTCCTGGCATTTTCCAATGTCCACAATAGCTTGTGGTTCTTTTTTCTTCCCATGATTTGAGCAAAAAATGAATAGCGAGATTTACAACAATTCTCGCCATTCATCAGCCCTTAAGTCCTACAGTCGTAATCATAAAATGATTATTGTGTTGATCTTGATAAAGGTAATTAGAGCTAACTCCTCCTTGTTTCTTCTTTTTCTGTTGCTTGCAGAAAAGAGTGCCCTTCCCATTGTCCCTCTCTTCCTTTTGTATCATAAATAAATGATAGGATCTTGCCCTTCAGCTAGGGTTTTCTTCAAATACTAAATCTTAGCCAAACTGATACTGAAACTGTTTTTTTTTTTTTTTTTTTGTATGCCTGTCTTCAGGGTTCTCTTGTCATCATTTGACCTTTCTGGGATTTGATTTATTTTTTACACAATTCTGTGATTTGATCCAGCATAACTGTAATGTAATGAAAACAAAATCTGCAAAAATGTAAGGCAAGCAGAATAATTAGTGGCAGGACAAATTTACATACTTGTTTTGGTAGGATTTGATCCTAGGCTTTGAAGCTGTCAGTTTCTAATATGAATTATTTATTATTATTATTATTATTTTGCTTAAGACAATTCAATAGGTGCTATTCACATAAACATTGATTTAGCTGAGTTTCTCTGTTTTAATGCCAACCATTTTGGCAGTTATATAAATGTTAGGTAAATCTGTTGGCAATCTTCTGTATTTTTTATTTTATTTTTGGACAGATTAATAAAAAATAAAGACATGGAGTTTCAGGGATTTAGCTGGGAGTTTTAGATTAAAACTTGATCTGAAATGAGTCCAGAAGCTGTACCGTAGTGATGTTAGTTCCAGCTTTCACAGCTCACATCATTGCGCATTCTTAGGAAATCATATAAGGGATTACTTGAGACCGCTTAGTAATTTTGGAATAAAGCTCAGATGTTATTTTACCATACAGTGCAAATGATGTTTTTCATATTTTGACACAACAGATTTTAAAAAAGAGTAAAACTGACTGTGGCACATACCTATTGTCATTGAAATAGTTAATAGAATCCTAGAAAACAGATGTAGAGGAGACCTCAAAAGCTTTTTTAGTCTACCAATCCCCTCTTCCCCTCTCCTAAACCAATCCTGACAGATGCCTGTCTAACCTGTTCTTTAATGTCCACAACACCAGATTCCACAGCTTCCCTAGGCAGTCCATGCTAATGCTTAGCTCAAATAAGAATCCGATTAACTACTGATACCAGGAAATCTCAGCTAAGTAAAACTTTGCAAAAATTCAAGAGCCTCAGATCTAATTTCATGCACTCTGCTGAAGGTAGGCAGTTTACATTTCCAACCTGTAGACTGTCACATCATAGTTACTATCAATCCATTAAGGGGATCAAAGTCAACACTCCCCCTTTGCAACACTAAAGTTATAATAAACAAAAGAAAGCAAAATGCTTGCTGATGCACCTTCAGAAAATCATTGTGTGACCTAATTTTCAATAAAATTTCATACTTGCATAACATACAGTAGGAAAATAGAATTAGTTCTGTGAACACTGGAATCAGCAAATGGTTCATGGTAAATGGATTTATGTGCTATGGATGAAAAGTGTCAGTGAAAGTTTATCCTACAGCAGGGATTGCCTTCCATGTAGAATATCTTATATTTAACGCAGCATGAATTCAAACTGCAACCTTTTTACATCAAATTTGGCAGAAGTTTTTTTGTCTGAATAGTTTGTTTAAAGATAACAGGCAGAGCCAAAAGTATGAGAGAGGGAGAAAGGGAGAGAGACAGAGGACCAAGAGGGAAAGAAAAATTGGCAAATAAACCCATGTCTCATACAAGCAACAGATTATCCTGTCTTACATTTGAACAGTCTCTAGTTTTTGGTTAAAATGCCATGAGAGAAATTTCAGACATGAGGTAAATTAATAAAATAATTAAGAATTCCAGTTACTGATCTTTGGATTCTTTAAGAGGACAATTACTTGAGATTGTGCAATACACTGCTCACCTGCAACTAAATTTTCAGATAGTCAGTGTCTTATATGAAATTGTCCAAGAAAAAACAATCAGGTAGCAGTTCTCAGCTAGCTAAAAAAAATCTATAAAATGTCAGTCCCACTTTAGTTTCTATAAGACAGCAGCGCTGTGCTATACTGAACTGGACTGTTGCTTTTTTCTTGCAATATCAGAAAAGTTTTTAGGGTAAATATTGCAGGACAGCTGACTTCAGCTAGCACCCATGAAAGATGCTTCGCAGTCCTGAATGGAATTGCTCTTGGGAGGCAAATTCCAAACAGCCCTCTCTGCTCCTGAAACATATGTTTAGAACATGTATCTGAGCTGTTCTTTGATGTACACAAATGGAAAGCATAACAAAAGAGGAGAATGTGTTCCCAATCCCAGCACTGAATATTTTTGCCTATTCTAAGATCTTGTAGAAATAGCCTAAATCAATTATTTGTGTAAAACCTGGGTTACTGACAGCTTGGATTAACTGCTACATAAACATCTGTAGTCAGTCAGAGCTACTTAGAGATTGTTTTATATGGCCACATCACTTGTCAAAGTTATTTCCATCAACTAATGGTCTGTATATCCAAAAGCAGAATAAAATGTCTTTGAGGCATCTAATGACCTGATTGTGCCATCGAATTCCTGAAATCTACTGACCCTGGTCAAATAGTCATAGAACCACTTCCTCTTCCGCCTACTATTACTGCACAGACCTGTAATCTTCCTGTCAACATCTACATTCTATCAGTCCTTTCTACAGTTCATTGTCTGTGCAAAATTAGAAATGGATAAAGCTCATATTGAGAATTTAAAACCTTGTATTCTTTGGCATTATTTCCTCTTCTCTGGCTTCTGTGGATTTTCTGTCCTCTTGCCAATGTACATTTTAACCTACACACACGAACACACACAGCGCACTTTGAAATAGCTGTTAATAGTTGTCATCCAGCATGGAAACTAAGGACAGGTCCATGGGGGAAGGTGTAGACAGACACAAATTAGTTTTGCGTGCACTCGCAATGGGAAGGACATAAACCAGTGCTCATCCAAAATCCTGATAGCTTTATTAGCCCAGTGCTTTGTACAGGCTTGAGCAAGCTGCCTCTCAGCAATGTTTATTAGTTCAAGTCTGTCACCTCTCAAAGCCGGAGCTAACCTGAGTCTCATCACTTGGGAGCACAGGCAGACCAGGCTCTCAGTTGTCTTCTCTCATACATGTAGTCATGCCCCAGGCACCCACTTCCCTGGCTACATGCAAATTTTCTTTCTTTCCTTCTTTCTGTTTTTTTTTTTTTTAATACCTTCAGAATTTGTGCATACAGTTCAGTAACGTGTAATCCTTCGGCTTTCATAAACAGCCGTGTGAATTTGCACAGAATCAAATGATAATTGCAAAGAGCTAAACACTGGTAGTGAGAAGCTGTGCAGTTAGCTAAAAAGATATACATTGCAGAAAATGCAATAAATTACATGACCTACTGGCTTGAAATGTCCTGTTAACTACTGATAGGCTCCAAAGAGTGGAAGACCATATAGGTCAACTTTATGAACTAATGTCATTAAGCCTTTAGATTCAAGAAGCTTATTTTTCTTTTAAAAGCTCTAAGCTGGCGGATTCAAAACTAGTAAATTCTTTAATTTTTACCAACATGGAAAAGACAAGCTATTCAAGTCATACAACATGCAGTTGGATCAAGAAACCCTTAAAAATGCTGAAAGTTGCAGACTTAAGCAAAGCCTTCTGTTTTTTTTTTTTTTTTTCTTTTTGTAGTTTGAATGAAAAAGTCTTTTTCTATTTCTGTGGTATTTTGTTATCACTCCCTTCAAAGAGTGCATGCTTTATAACAGCTTGCCTTATATTACATTGTACACAAATTTGTCCATTTTAGATTACCACAATGGAGAGCAACCTGAAGACGATAGAAGAGGAGAACAAAGTAATTGAACAGCAAAATGAGTCTCTTCTTCATGAACTGGCCAATTTAAGCCAGTCTTTAATTCATAGTCTAGCTAATATCCAGCTACCACATATGGTAAGTGATTGAGAGCACAAGTTAAGGAATTTGGCGATCTTCAGTTCACTTCATACAATAGATGTCTTTTTTTATGTTTATGGTTCATCAACCAGTTGGATATTTGTGCTAACAACACTGAACCCATAAAGATACATTTAACTGCTAACAGAGACATGGAGGGCCTGTTCCAGTGTATCCTGTAAAATTAAGTAAGATCTAAATAGGCATTTTAAATATTATAAAAAATGGTGGCAATATGCCTTGATAATATGTTATGCTTAAATGAATATACAGTTAAGAAAATAAAAGTTGTATATGAACTACTATTTAATATCTCGTAGGAACCAATCAATGAACAAAATTTTGATGCTTACGTGACCACTTTGACGGACATGTATACAAATCAAGATCGTTATCAGAGTCCAGAAAATAAAGCCCTACTGGAAAATATAAAGCAGGCTGTGAGAGGAATTCAGGTCTGAACAGCTGCTATAGTGGTGAAAGTCTTGCTTAAAAAAAGGATGCCTCTTGTTTTTTGCTGCTGTAATTTACCAGAAAGTGTTATATATTTATTTCTGTTTGAAACAGTGTTATGCTTACAAGACTTCATAATGATTTTATGTCTTGCT